ATAATGCACTTACCATTTTTGAAAAACTGCCGATACAACTCATGTTTTTTCACCCTATCTCTTTCAGCTGTATTATTTTGTAGTTGTTCCTATGGGCTGTCTTATGTTGTAAGGGTGTTATGGGGTGTTTTCCTTCGCTGTCTGTACAGAGCGTGCCATAAAGTGGTTTGGCTTTGTTCAACAGGACAAGTGTCTCCCAAATGAAACTAAGCAGCTTTCTCTTTGCAACTCTGTTGTGTCAACCAGTGGTTTTTTTTTTAATGTGTTGCTGTTGTGAGTAGCCCAGACACCACAGGTGCCTTTGCACAAAGAAGAAATACTGCAGGGGGTAGTGCGAAAGGCGCAACAATTTGTGAGCATCTAAGCATTATGTTTATGTATTTTTACACTCATTGGTGCTGGCTGTCGTTGGTGGTGGATGTACTTAAAACGGTCAAAACAGGCAAAACATGGCACCCCTACAACACAGAACAGCCTGTGAGAACCGCTATGAAATCACACAGCCATACTAGATGGGGTGGTAAATGTTAGCTGTACCAAACTGACTTGCAAAATGAACTGATTACCAACACCATAAAGAAAGCAATCACATTCTTTGGGCATGTCATGGGAAGGAGAAAACAGGAGTATGTGGTGACAATGGAAAAGTTGGAAGCGAAAAGATAAAAAGGAGATCAACAGAGAAAATTTAGGACAGCTAAGTACATAGCATGGGAAAAGCTGTATCAAAAACAACTGAAATTAAGGAAGACAGACGGTTGTGAACAGATGGGGTTTTGCCACAGAACATAAATTATAAGATAAAGACAATCAAATGTATATACACAAGAGAAAAAAACAGACAGGATGTGCTTTCTCATTTCATAAGAAATATAACAGACATGAAATATAGCATTCATACATAAAAGACTGAAATATGCAGTCTTTTGAAGAAAAATACTATAAATTAATAACACCCTGGTGGAACGAGGAAGTAAAAAAACAGCAGTGAAGGAAAAGAAATGTAGATATGAGGCGTAAAAAGTAAAAATTAAGATGATCTTGAAAAATACAGAACGCCAAGAACGATAGCCAGAGATTTTGTCAGAAACGCCAAAGAAACATTGTGGCAAAAATATAGCAAAATGTTGAAAGCTGACCACAAAAGTGCTTTGAAAAACTTTTACAAGCAAATTAACATGAGAGGTAGGAACGACCAATATGACCCAACAGAAATTATAAATGACAAGACGGGAGTCCCCTTAAAAAAACCATAAAAGGTCCTAGAGAGATGGCATCAACATTTCAACGATCTACTTAACTTACTATCAGAGGAACAATCCACAACATAAGAAAATAACAGCTGCATAAACGCAAATTTAGAACCAAGCATAACACTTGCAGAAATAATAAAAACTGTAAAAGAGACACCGTCCAACAAAGCACCAGGCTCTGACGTCATACCTGCTGAACTACTCAAAGCAACAGAAGAGGTGGGCCGTAAAATAAATGCACAGGCTGTTCAACCTAGTCTGAACAACACAAAAGACACCGGAGGACTGGAGAAATGCAGTAATAGTACCCATCTGAAAGAAGAAAGGCAGCAAGAGAGACTGTGAGAAGTAAAGAGGAGTTTCGTTATTGAGCCACACAGAAAAATATTTTGTAAAATCTTTGAAAAAAACGCTATGTCCTATCATCGAATCACAACTTTATCAAGGACAAATGAGGTTTTGGAAGAACAGAAGTTGTATTGATGCAATATTCACACTTAGACCATTAGTGGAAAGAACGGTAGAATTTGATACAAAATTACACGTCATATTCGTAGATCAAGAGAAAGATTTTGATCGAGTTAACAGGAATAAATTATGAAAAGTACTACAGGATTACGGAGTAAATGAACATCTTATTAAATTATGCAAGAGTTTCTACTTGAACAGTTAATGCACAGTTAGAACAAATACAGGAATGTCAGAAAGGTTCTACATTAGATCTGGAGTGAGACAGGGGTGCGTTCTATCACCACTACTGTTCATCACATGAAAAGAGAAACAAAGTAATTATGGCCTGGAGAGAATGAGGCACCTGGATGTAACCAGAGGGTCTGGCCGGCTCACTACACTCAGAGGAAAGGCAAGATGGACATATAAACAAATTGTGACTGATACCATCATATTGGAATTCTGCGCTATCTGCTGAAGATGAGGATGGAGCACACATGGGAATGCCCCGAGTGCTTTGAAATCAATTCTTGACTCAACTCAACTAATGTTCATTAAATATGTCAAACAAATTTCCAAATCAGCTAACATCAGTGAGGGGGACAACATCGGAGAAATACTAAATGAATTGCTTTTTGCTGATGACCAGGCAATCATAGCACCAACATCAGTACAGCTACAAGATCATATTTATTGACTCCCCTCAGGATGCAACAACTATGATATGAAGATCAACGTAGAAAAAAACAGAAGTGATGATATTTTGCAGAAAAGGAAGAACCACCAGTATCAAAATTGAGGAACACCAATTAAAGCAGGTGAAGGATTTTACATACAAGAGAAGCATTTTTTTCAGAAGACTGAAGAATGAATAAAGAAATCCAACAAAAATGCAATAAAGCCATTCAAGTTTAAACCAAATGGCACCAATTTTGAAATGCAAGCATGTGAATATGAACACTAAAAGAACACTGTTTAATACAATATTCTTACCAACACTCTGCCATCAATGTCAAACATGAACACTGTATTCAGAAGACAGAAGCAAAATAGTCACGACAGAAATAAAATGTTTACCTAACATGCTAGGTGTAACAAGAAAAGATCAACTTAGGAACCATGATATCAGGAGAAGAATCGGCACAGAACCAGTACCAAACTTTATAGGTTGACAACAAATCAAATGGTTTTGCCATGTAACAAGATTGGCAGCAGACAGGGCACCACATAGAGCAATGTTATACAGATACAGTAGTAATAGACCCAGAGGTCAACCACGCAGAAGATGGACTGCAGAATAATCAGAGACACTGAAACGTACTATATACGAAGCGAACAAAAGGGCCTGTCTTAGAGATCTCTTCCTCCCCTGACACACAAGGCATTCCAGGAGTAGAGAAAAGAAGAAGAAGTGGCTCTTTAATTAGCCTTAGATAAACAATACTCTATACAAAATCACATCTGCTGGACTTCGCACAACTAGCAAAACAATTTTAGTTTTAATGGCAAATTCCCACATCAGACAGAAGACACATGCAGCCTGAATAAAATGGGAAAAGGCATACGAAAAAGTGTGCTAATACAAAATACTATATTTTCTCCTCTGACAGAATAACAGAAGAATACTGTGTGTTTATGCCGCAGTTATTGCTAACAATGATCTAGAGGAAGGTACTGACTGACCCTAGCTCTGCTGTGAAGAAGACTTAGTGCCTGTGTATGTGATTATAAGTTACACATGATGCTGACCTGAAGAACAGAGGAAGGGACTGGAATAATCTGCCCTATGTAACATGGGTAAACAGAGTGTCTCACTATAGACTGGATCCAAGTTCTGCTGACAGACCCAAGATAAGCTAACCAGGTAACTTAAGATGAACAATAACTAGAAAGCTTAATGAAACTTTAAAAAAAAAGTAAAGACATGCAAAAATACAGCTGAACGATTATTTCAAAGCTGTAGATGTACTTTTACCAGTCTAAAACACAGAGGGGAAAAATATAGGTAGACTTTTAATCAGGGTGCAACTGGTACAAGTAGCATGGTGACTCTTTGCTGGCTACTGAAGGGGTACAGAACATATGTGTGGGAATGTCATAAGTGCAGTGATGTCAATTCTCGATTCATCATTCATTCATTTATTCATTCATTCATTCAGTCTTTAAAAAAAAATAATTTTAAGACTTTGACTGAATCAATTCAAATGAGGTAGTCATGTACACTGAGTATTACTATGGAAGAAGCTAAGAATAACAACAATTTATTGCCAGAAAATCAGGGTTGGCAATAATTTTTTTTTCAGCCATTACCTATATCTGTGAAATGTAGGATAATTTGTCAACAAAGGCTGCACAAAGTACTAAGTGATGTCAAAGTGACCAATGATTTCCTACAAAAATAAGCTTACTGTAAAACAATTAACTCACAAAAGAATCTTAAAAGAATAAAGTGACAAACAAAATGTAATTACACATCTTCAATCTTCTTTTAAAATAATAGTTTTAGCATTGCACAGTTAATTGCATAAAAAGCTAATTTAGTGTTTTATATATATATATATATATATTCTTAACACTTTCTAAATATATTCAGTCTTTCTTTCCATTTATTATTGCTTTATTTTTTGGAAAATTGCCTTGGAGCTCTCATCTTTCCTGGTTGTATTTGCAGCACTGTTTTTGGAAATGCTCTACGTGTTGTTTTCTTCACCTTCAAGGCATATGAAGTTTTATATTTTGTTTCCAGAATCCAAGACTCATCTGGCATCACTTAACATTTTCCCAAGTAACTGGATATTAAAACCATTGTTTAGATATCTCACACATTATTATTTATTTATTTACTTTGCTTTTGTTGTTGTTGCCACTGTTGCTGTTTCCTTACTGTTCTTGTCTATGCTTTAGGCAGAGCAACTGATTTTCAATCTTCAGAAGGTGCTTGTTTTGTTGTAGCTGGCTAGTGCCTTTAATAATGGTTGGATGTGTGTTTAAACCACTCCATTCTGGATAACCTAAAACTTTGCACATTTCTCTAGGGTGATACTGTCTCAAAAAGGTTTGTATGTGTCTCAATTGCACAGTATAAATCTCCGTGTCATTACAACAATAGCACAATATTTTTAAAGCAAATTAATAATTCATTTTATCAAGGACAGTTCAACTATTATTGCAGGTAAAAGAAATATTTTATCAAAACACAAATGACTTCTTGTAATTAGCTCCAGCATTTCATATGAACAACTCCAAACTGAAATTGTTAGTGGCTCATGTGGTCTGGCAAGACAAACTTTCAGCTGTTTAGGATTCAAACTGCTGGTATGGAGTGTCGTCCTTCATGAGACCTGTCATTTATATACAGGAATAATTAGAAATATTAGAGTGAGATGTAATTATGAACTATGAGTTCATGAATATGCAATATGTACTGCAGATCAATAATAGGCAAACACTCAACGAGTAAATGTTTTGACCAAAGTCTTAGTCTTAGTCAAGGTTTCAACATCACTGCATTCAGGTTTTCCATACTTGCTCCTTTCCTGTGCCTGTGCAAATCAAATGAAATATCCCTCACTGTCCCAGTTAAAAACTGGCGAACAAACAATCAGTCCCGGAACAATTCAGAAATAGGCGCATGCAGTAAATGCATATGGCAATTACTAGAGGTTCCAAAGCCAACAATCGCCACCAGAAATGCAGTTTGTTGTCAACCAAAGTCTTTGTCATGAAATAAAACACTAGGGACACATTAGTTAGTTAGTTATTCCTCTTGTGCCAAAGATGGCGCATAGGGCAGAGGTCATAGCTTTCCACGTCTGTCGGTTCGTTGCACATTAGTACAGAAATGAAATAAACTGATATCATAGTAATATAATTCTAATTAATGAAAAAAAGGAAACAACCACAGCTTTCTTTATTTGGAGAACAAAAATGTGGAAAGTTAGAAAATGAAGAGAAATATATATAAACAAAACTAGGTTAGTTTATGTATCCTTAACCTACCTATGTTGACTGCTGAGCACTCATTCATTTTATGTACATGTGTAAATATATTTTTCAATTTCTTGAATAAAAACTTTGCTTCACTTGGCGTGTGTGTGCTTTTCTAATTGTTTTTTTTTTTATTTTTAGTTATTACCCATATGCAGACATATAAAAGTCAACAATATAATGATAACAATAATAAATAATATTCACAGTTCACAGAATACAAATAAAGAAAAGTTATGCAGCATTTATGAATTGTACTAAATATAACTATACACACTGAAGTAAGATAGCCAAACTGACAAAATGTCATTTGTAAATATAGAATATTTAAGATTGACTGGATGGAATTTAATATCAACTTATAAATATATTTTAATTAAGCAACCATTGATTTTGGAGCTGTGTAGATAATAAGAATACATGAAGGATATATCAAACTAAGGTCATTTTAATTGCGTAATCATGCTTAAGGAGCTGTGACTAAGCAGTGGTCAGCACACTTGCCTGCCATCTTCATGGCGTATTTATACAGGTGTTTTTTGCCAACCCATCTATCTACTGATATTGCTCACTCCCATGTAACACCGTCTGCCACTTCCCTCTATTTTCACCTGGGATTTGTATGGACCAAGCATGAAATTAAAACATTTTCACCTGGGCATTAGATCCTTTCTTTCAAAATGAGCACAAGAGAAAGGCAATACAATTGTCAAAGTGATACTTTAATGATTATAACATTTGGTGTTTATCTGCCCGCCCCTCCCCCCCCCCCCCCTTAAACTGACACTACCGCCTGTATTTACCACTTCTGCAGCATAGGCAGTGAGGTATTTGAACCAGATGATTTAAGGCTGCATGGCTAGTGCTGCCACCACAGACTGTGCAGGTAAGAATTTTATTTTAGCTGTCAACAGAAAAAATCCCCATCCTTACTAGGGCTTTGAACATGGGTCTCCAGCTTGAGAGCCAGCGTTTTAACCCTTCGACCAGCCACTTCTATTGGTGCATTTCAAACAAACATAACATTAACTGTGAATAAGTGATGTTACAGCAGGATTCATCATGTGTATATCAATCAGGACTAAAAGGTAAAGGTGTTCACACATTACATTCTGCAGTTAGCGTGAGAAGTGTTAGGCTATCACATATACTGAGCAAAACATATGAGATAAAGTAGCCAGTTCGTTTCTCTTGGCCTTTACTTTCTGGACAATTCTTAGCAAATTATGGAAACTCTCTGGCACCCGTTGTTATGAGATGAGGTCATGAGGAAGAACATAAGTAATTACACAGTTATTTAGAATACATACCGTATTTTCTTCTGATATCATCCATGCGACTTTTTCTGTCTGATCTACGTTCGTTCTGTTTAACCTTTCTTTCCATTTTCCTTGACTCAAATTTTGTATCATCTTGCTCTTGCCTGTATCATTGAAACATAAGTACACATTGTATTTACCATAAGAGACAATGTGAAACTAAATAAAGTACCAAAGACTATGTAGATAATATTATGCTGCTAATTTGCTACTGTTGACTCCTTTTGTTTATTCTTCATTTTCAAATAAAAAATAATGCATTAACATCACCACATACGTTCAGTGGTAAACAGTACTACAATTGGTGCATTATATTAATTCCTATTTTGTGCTGCCCGTTTTTTTTTTTTTTAAATGGTAAATATGTCAGTCCTGCCATCCTCTTCCTGCCACTCTTGTTTCCATTTCAAGGCAATCAGTGATTCATTTTCTAGTACTTTTTCTATATGCATACTGTTTCCACAAATGCCTACTTATAATGCTCAGAATATTTAACAGCAAATTTGTACGAGGACAAAATCAGTAAAATTCTCCCCCCCCCCCCCCCCCCCCCCCCCCCCCAAAAAAAAAAGATGTTCCAGCTACTAGAGATCATCAACACACCCACACTAGACAGTAATTTACTCTGTAACCATAGGCTACCCATACATTGGATTCGCTCTTGTTAAATTCGTAATCAAATAGTGAAGTCACTAGGTTTCAACATTTCAGGCTGCAATCTCAGAGGGGCAAATATGGGACTGAGCCTCTAGAGGCAGGGGGTAAGAAGTGTTGGTGTTGTGGGTAGTGGTTCCATCCCCCCCCCCCTTACTTCACCCTAGGTCTACTGAATATCTGTTCACGAAAGAAGCGTCCATTGTGGTGTCAGCCTCTTGACCTAGCAAAACCTCTCTTACCTCAAGACCATTGTGCGTAGCGAAGAGTCACAGCCTCCCCGAGGTAGCCCTGGTAACTGGGGGTGCGAATCCCCAGGCAAAACACAATGGATCTAGAGGAGCAAACCTTGTTAATAAACCCGGTGCACCACACCGAACTGCCCGCTGTTGGAGGGAAAGAGCCGGAGGTATGATGAACAGTCTTAGGAATGGAAACAAGTATACTAACCCCCCTGAATACCGGAAACTATTGTGAAGGCGCAGGGACTCAGGACGTGACGATACTGTTGCCTCAACTACTCATGCTTAGGCCATGCTTAGAGCCATGAAGAGCTCAGCGAAACCAGCAGGCAATCTGGTGGTGGAGAATGAGCACACTGTGAGCCCCACCTTAGCTACGTGTTAAAGGGGAAGGCAGAAACACAACCCATATTTCCTTTAGAGCTGGTACAGGGCATTTCTAGCTGCTGCCCGGGGAGGTAGGTAATCCACAGACACCCCAGCACCACAATGCCATGAATATGTCAATTCCACTACATGGCATTGGGCCAAAGGGCCAAAGCACATGCACCGCTGGATCGATAACAACAACAAGGGGCAAATATATATTTTTTTTTTAAGGATACAAATCACCAATGAGAATATTATAAGTGGTATATCTTTCACACACACCACACATGATGTTCCTCATTTAAAATCTGGTCAAATTTCTTTAATGTGCTCAAGCCAAACATAAATACCATAACAAAACATAACAAGCTGCTTGATAGACATGAACAATAGCTGATGTCATGTTTTGAGCTGCTTGGTACAGAAAGCATTCATTTTAATTTGCATCAATTCTTGTACGGGTTTTGTTCCATCATTTTTATACCTGTACTGGTTTAGGGCCTTATTTCTGGGGAAAAGAAAGGATTTATTTCCCCATAGCATGTAATTCATAAGAGGCAACTGATTAGAATTTAGTTTCAATTGGATATGTTGGGCTAAAAGCTGCAAATACTGCAGCCTAGTTGCAAACCATTAAGCAGAAGAAGAAGTTCCATAATTTTGCTTTTTTCCCCCTTAAAATTTGGACATTCACTTAAATTACTCCTCCCCTGCCCACCCATTACAGCAGGGTACACCATGAGGGTTGTGTGTTTAAATCTCCATGGTGCAGGATTTCTTTTAATATGACAATGGAGAGACAAGGTCCAGACAGACCTGCAAACACTTGGTATCACCAACTCAAAAGAGAAGGCCAACCAGAGAGATGAATGGAGGCAGGTGATATCTGCAGCAATGAACCTCAAGGGCTCAAAATGCTGAAGAAGAATGATTTTGGCTCAGAGGTTGACCTAGCCTTAAGTGGGTACCAGGCAAAGCTATGGGAAGTAAAGGTGGCGATGTGGCATGTGTCGACAACACTACTCACTGACGACCAGTTGTTCTGTAGAGATAAGATGTCCAGTCTCATATGCCTGATGCGCCACTGGCGTGTACAAGGACCATTACTTATGCCTGATGTACTACTGGTGTGTACAAGGACCTTTACTTATGCCTGATGTGCTACTGGTGTGTACAAAGACCTTTACTTATGCCTGATGTGCTACTGGCGTGTACAAGGACCTTTACTTATGCCTGATGTGCTACTGGCATGTACAGGGACCTTTACATATGCCTGAAGTGCCACTGGTGTGTACAGGGACCTTTACAAATGCCTGAAGTGCCACTGGTGTGTACAGGGACCTTTACTTCTGCCTGAAGTGCCACTGGTGTGTACAGGGACCTTTACTTCTGCCTGAAGTGCCACTGGTGTGTACAGGGACCTTTACATATGCCTGAAGTGCCACTGGTGTGTACAGGGACCTTTACATATGCCTGAAGTGCCACTGGTGTGTACAGGGATCTTTACTTCTGCCTGAAGTGCCACTGGCGTGTTCAGTTCAGTTCAGTACCTAATGTAGCCAATAAGAATGCCCTAATTATATTTCCTAGGAGGAAGATGGCTCATCAGCTTTCATTGGTGTCCAGCCTTCAGGCAGCAAACAAGATGGAAAATGTGGGAATAGATCAATCAGTGAATCAATTAAAGTATATAAACTACTCTTGTCAAAGACAAACAAGATTTTTCTTCATTTGACATCTGTTTCCAACTCCTAATTCACACAGCCTTATATCTCAAAACGCCATGTGGCAATGTGAAATACTTTTTTTTTTTTGGGGGGGGGGGGGGGGGGGGGGGGGGGGGAGAGGGGTTCAACTTTTATCTGGCAAATATTAAATATATAATCACAGTGCTATTTCTTGTTCTTTTACTTCTTCTTATAGTCCAAACAATATGCTCTCAGTCTTTTTCATGTGTACTGCAAATCATTGTTAATAGAGACAATACTCATGCTTTGTGGCGAACAGTCTAAAATTATCTCTCTCGATATTTTTCTACATCACTTTCCGTTCAACTTTCCTGTTGTTATACCTTATTCCAATATTTCCTTTCTCGAGAATGCCTAAAGAATATCAGTTGTCTACTTCTAGAATTGCTAATAATTTATTTTTGTGAGTTTTCTATCAAAACATCTTTGATTACACTTGAACTTGGACACAATGAATTTACTTATGCCATGAATAAGAGAGCAGTAAACTGTGTTTCATCAACTAGTGGATGTCAGGGGTCATCCCGGTTATGGGACAGTTCAGTGTGATGATGATGAATCAGGGATGTTAGGAACTGTGACCCGTAACTAAACTCAGGGCATGTTCAAACAGGCTGATACACAGAGAAATCTGTGTTAGCTGAACAAGGCTTGCTAAACGTCAACAGGCTTCATATAGGGCGGACTGGGCAGAAGACTTGTGTGACGTGGACGTTTTTGTGACTAGACCTTTAGATTGTACTAGTTCATTGATGAGTTATAATGACCTTTAGAAATGTGGCGTGTTGGTTGTTAGCTGGAATTCGTACCCTCCAGTGTTTGACTAAATGTGTTTAGTACTTTACGATGTAGGTAGTAATTGATTCATTTAGATCTCATTTAGCAGTTACATTCAGGATAGCAGTTAGACTGTTAGTAATGATACCTCGTTATGGGAAACAAGACCATGCATTGTTTGTGGTGTTAGCATCTGCCAATGCACCTCCAGCCCGCACTCAAGTTGTACCATAGCATCTTTGGCTTTAGGAGAGAGCAAGTGAAGTTAGCACTGTACAGGAGTGTGTGGTAGGAGCTCAGAGCTTATTTCATGAACGTGAAAAGGCGCGTCTAGCGATTTTAAAGTTAGAAGTGGCCTGATTTCAGAATAAGGAGCACTACCCCTCCAGAGGCATAGACATCCATGAGTTAGTATCCTTAGATAATAAAGATTGTGTGTGTGTGTGTTAAACTAGTGTTTGGCTTGGATGTGTTCGTTGGCAGTGTTTATCTGTCATAAGCCTGCAGCGCAGCCGTAGAGAATCGAACCCTAGACATGCAGGTTGTGTGACAGATCTGGAAGTACAGAAGAATTATGAGATCTCCATGAACATGTAAAAAGTGTAATGAACATATCTTACAAGCAGTTTACTCACAAATAAAACTTATTACCTACATCAGAAAAAGACAGTCTACACTTTTTGGGCATATCCTGAAAAGAGGAGAACTGGGGTACATTGTAACAATAGGAAGCTGGAGACGGAGAGGAAATGAGATAAAGGCAGACTAAAAGAGAAGATGCTGCACAAAGTGGGCCCCATGGTATGAAAAACATCTCCATCAGGAATGACTGACAGCATACATGACAGAAAGCTGTGTGTGGACAAGTAAGATTAACTATGCCACATGCCAAGAAGTATAACAAGAAGGATTATTCTATGAATTGAGGGTTCCTGCAGTCATATATTACACCAGATCAGTACACACTTGCTGCAGTTCTAAAGATCTCAAATATATACTCACTTCTTCCTGCCACTTTTACGACAACAGCAGTAGTAGATACAACAGAATGTTATGGTGAAGACAATAACTCCTCCAATAACACTCACAGAAATGATCATAGCTTGGAAGTTCACTGTTAATTAAAACAAAGTCAGGATTTAGAAACCTGGCAACTTGATCTAATAAAAATAATCATTATATATATATATACATTTGTTTTAGTTTCATGTGTCATTATTATATTCATACAAATTTCTAATTATCTTTGCTAATAAACATTTCTAAAACACAAAAAATGTCAATCTTTCGAGAAGCTTCTTCTTCTTCAACTATCTTCTGATTTGTGCATATTTATTCCAGGATATATTTTTGTTAAGGAATAAAGAGAAGAAAATAACAGTGTGTCTGAGTATGCTTGAGGTCTTAACTGGTGCCCATACTTTGTTTTGAAGTATCACCCTTTTGAGCCAGACTGCCTCTCTCTGACTGGACAAATCTAGCAATGTTTAAAGGAGCAACCGATGATAAATCATTCAAGATCTGAAATAAGTTATATTCAGCATGTTTATAAAAATCAGTGTGAGGTTTTCAATATTGACACTCAGGTTGTTTTCAGAATACCTTCACTGCACATGATCTTCTAACAGTCTATAATGTGAGATGTGGGTGAGCATGTCTGTCCATAGCCATTTTTTTCTCCTGTTCTGCCAGTCATTCTAATACAGATGTTCTTCCACTTCATAATGCCAAGTGGTCCAGCATCAACTCTCTTCATCTCCCTCTGCTTCTCTCCAACTTTCCAGTTGTCATGAAATACTCCAGTTTTACCCCTATATGCCTAAAGAATTTGGATTGTCCCTTTCTGATGCAGACAGACAGTAATTTTTGTGAGTTAATTTCTTTAACTTTGTTGCCCACAGGAAAGCCATTTTTCTGGCACTTATATGTGTAATACTTGCCATGTGTCTTTGGGCAATGGCCAGCACGCTAGTATAACAGCTTTCATAATGGTTACAACTACATTGTGTGCAGATGTTGTGGGTTTAATTGTAAATTTTTTTTTCCAACTGTTAACAGATTATCTGGGGTGAAAATAAATTATTGATTTCATAAAAAGCTGATTTTAATGCCACTTTGCCCTGTGGCAGTCCAACAAAACAAATTTTTCTGGTCAAAGGGAAAGAAGGCAGATAATTCTCTGCTATATTTGTATTTAGTGATAACTTTCCTTTCCATAAAGCAATACTGGTAAAACTAAATATGGGAGGATTCTTTGTTATTGTGTGAACTGGGATAGTGGCAGTGGCCAGCAAGCTTGCCTGTCTGTGTCATGGTCATAGGCGTAAACCCCCTGGACTTTTATAAAAACTGACCTAGGCTCAAAATATCTACAACCATTTCTTATTTTTCCTCTAGTTTCTTAGAGTGGAGTTTTAGACAATTATAAAGATGCAGGTTTCTTTTTAATGAAATTTTGAGAAAGGTTAGGTTCTTACAGGGTAAATAGTTTAAAGACATTATCATTGCTTTTTAACTGTCCATGATGCAGTAATCATGCTTATAAAAAGCCCCATCACCAGCTGATTTTCTTTTCATTACCATGTTATGTGTTTTCCACAATACCTCTGTCCTGCTTCAACACATCACAAGATCCAATAAGATCCTGACAAACAAATTTGGTCATATATAGTATTACTTACGCCAGCAGACTCCCCATCTTGCTTCATCTAATGCACAATCATCCGACGATGGAAGAATTTTGCCAGATGGGTACAGTTTGCAAGTGCTATCACTGTAGCAGTATAAACACTGAGGACAAACAAAATATTATATTTGAACCAAAATATCACAAATTGCAGATGCAATTCTTTTTTTTTTTTTTATCCTGGACAACAGAATGCTTGTACACTGTCAGACAGACTAATGTATACATGTATTTTCTCTCAAATATGTTCTTGTTCGGACTATAGTGTACATGTTTTTCTTCTCACATATGATTAAAATTCTCAACTTGTAAATACAGGGTCTGACAATTAAGTAATGAGACCAATTTTATTATGGCTAAGACAAACATGCCATCTATGATTCACAGCATGGAATCCAAAGAGGCAACCTTCGTCTATAATTTGGCAACTTTTTATCACCGCCCGATAAGAAGAAAACAAACAAGCCGCCATTTTGTTAACATAGCCAGAAATTCATTATTATGTAATCAGCATGGAGCTAAAAAAGCTGACATTAAATTCTTATTTAAAACTCAGAAAAAGACACTGTTGCAATGGCAACAGTGGGATTGATGTGACAATTTTATGGAGATAATTGTTTAACTTGTGCACAGATTTTCAGCTGGTATTCACGATTCAAAAGTGGTGGGCTAGACCTGGACACCCAATTTCTTTTCATAATGAGTAACTCATTGAAAATATCAGAGAACATATACAAGAAGATCGTTGTTTGACTGTGAGGATGATGGTAGATGAATTTGGTGTTAATACAGAGACTATTTGTAAAATTTTAGTTCAAGATTTGAGCAATAAAAAAGTTGATTGTCGGCCTGTATTCAACACCTGGCAATTTGTTTCTTCTAAATGACAATGCACCGGCTCAAAGGGTGGTAGTTTTACAGGAATTTTGGGCCCAAAAACAAATGTGTATTCTCAACCATCCACCCTATTCCCCTGCATTTGTCTCCCAGTGACTATTTTATATTTCTTAACTTTAAACATGTGAACAGCTAATTACATTTTGAAATCCTGAAAGAAAAGTAACTGCAAACAGTGAGGAAACAAAGTATTTCAAGCAGAAGAAGCAGTAGTGGCAAAAAAAGTTTACATGGGTAATGTTTCAGTTAATTTTTTTACTTTCATTTTCCTGTTTTGTTTGCTCTTTACAAGTAAAAAAGTAAAGTAAAGATCCCTTTTCACGCCTTTCGGCGCATAGGGCATATGGGCAGAGCGTCCTTATTTTTACAGACCATCAGCACTCTGTGGGTAATGTGGTCAGCATTACGCCAGCTGTCTTTACTTTCCCAGGACAGCCCATCCTGGTACCCATTTTAGGCTGGGTCGACCTGCGACGTCCCATACCACGACAAAAATCCACGCATCCTGCAGTGGGTTTCGATCGCGGTATGCTGGCTTACGAGTAGGACACGCAACGCCTTAGCCACGGGCGCCGCACTCTCTTTACAAGTAGGATGGTTTTATTATTTCTTTGGTTTACAATGTCCATTTTTGTTTTAAATTTTCAACACATATTTAAGTTCTATTTTGTGTAAAATCTGGTGATCCTACTACCTTGACCTCTCACTTAATTTCCTCAACTGTACTTATTTCAGATTTCAGCAAGGTCAGAGTTGTTATTAAGGTCATGTGTATTACTGCCTTAGAATCAGATATTTTTCCTGTGTCATGTTCTACTCGTGTTTCTGTATGAGATGTCCCCAATAATCCTGATACACTTTAGACTCACAAACCTTAAGACAAAAAAATATAAAACAAATATGTTTCGAAACAATTATTATAACATGATGTTGTATTACCTTGCTATTTGATATACATGTATCACATGATGTATTCAGCTTTGCACATTCTGAAAGAGAAAGTAAATATAAACAACTACAGCTTAGCAGCTACAGCAAAAAGACAGTATTCAATAAAAAAGGTAAATAAACAGCTTATAATTTCAATTTTTTGTGATTACTGGTGAGTGACTACTGGTTAATAAACTCTCAGATTTTCTATGGTTTGGGCAAGATGGGTTCCTCAAAGCCTCACAAATGAGCAACAATTGCAAAGGAAAGCATTTTCTTCTGAACTGTTCAAGCATTACAGTTCTGATGCAGAGAACTTCTCTGGCTAAAATCTTTACAGGTAACAAATCCTGGGCACATTATTTTGAACCTGAGATAAAAAGCAATCAGTGGAACTGCATCATCTGCAATCACCACGAAGAAAGAAATTCAAGACAACATGTGTGGAAACATGGAAAGCAATCACCAGATTGGGTTGGAGTGTACTACACCATCCATCTGGTAGTCACAATATGTCATCCTCTGATTTTAATCAATTTGATCCACTTGAAGATACACTCTGCTGGACAAGATTTGAAGATGACAAAGGAGTGATTAATGAGGAAAATGGTTATATAATCAAGGCAAAATGGTTATTACCCATCTTGTGCCAATTGGTCTGTAAAAATATAGGTCTAGCCCTAGATGCCCAACATGCCTAAAGGCGTGGAAAAGGGTCATTCCCTTACTTTTTACCAAATCTGGTATGGCCTAGGAATACATGCACATGTTTCACGGTGGCATAAACTATTGAGTTCCTGAGAAAAATTATGTGGTTAATTACTTTCTGAACTCCTCTCCTATGTTATCTCTAAACAATCCAGTCAGTGATACATTTATAAACAATTCTCAAAACCTGTAACTGTCACTACTGTCTGTTACACCATATTTTAGGGCCATGTAGATTAGGGGTGGGGGGTGGCATGTGCCTGAGGATTTAGGGCCGCATTGCTAGTGCTGTGGCCAAGGACTGAGCAGGTTAGGATGTTTAATTTTGCCCCTGACAGAAAAACTCTATCACCTTTCCGCTCCTATTAAAAAACACCAATTCTTAATTTTTTAATTAAACAACATTTTATAGGTATCATACAACTTACCTTCCCCTGGAGTTGGGTTATGAGTTGGGGTTGTTGATACTGGTGACGATCTCGTTGAACTAAAAGATGCTGGAGGTGAATCTGGACTTGTTTGGGTTGAGTTTGAATATGTCTGGCTAGTGAAAGTTGTTTTTATTGTGCTAGACCAAACAGGGATTAGCCAAGTTCCCAAAATGCATGTTACCAGTACAATATTCATGTTTAATGTGTTCTGAAATAGTGAAACAATATTGGTAATAAACAAAAGATATGGCATCTAAGTGTCAAGCTTTACAAATATTAACTCATTTTATAATGAAGTTGAGTGCTTAGTTCCTTTCATCATCAGCTTTGTTTCTGGATGGCTGGACAACACAGAACAGAGGGAAAGAATGCAGACCTGATTCATGATTCTGTTGATCCCACATTATGATGATGACATGTTATATAAAGCTGCATCTGAAAGCAATCATGACTGCCAAAAACAATATTACCTTGCTAGCTAATAAAGATGGAATTCTGAAGCAGAACTATTTAACAGATGATGCTAAAGTAACTGTTCTATCTGCTTTAGTTAATGATACAAAGGTTAATACGAGTAGGTTGTAGTACCACCTACTGATACCTTTTATTTGCATGTCTTTCCTTTGAAGTTGGAATGTGCCTGCATAAAAGACGAGGAATCAACAATTCTGTAAAACAGATGTGCATGCAAAACCCTAAGACTTCTGTTCATCCATCTCTTGATGTTAAGTCCCACTGTCTTGCTGTCTGCCTCTTGCTCACTTGCCTTCAAATTTTCCTTCCAGTATGGTTTTTATAGTATAACATTAATTCAATTAGTACTAATTTGACTTTCAAATCCATAATACTAGAGAATTTACTGTAGTGCCAGGGTTATTTTTTATGGTGGTACACAATAATGTGCAGTATTAGAAGATTTTAAAGCATAATTTGTGTCAGCACTACTGTGATAAATAGACACTCTGTAGTATGTACCATCACCTTTTTTAGACACCATACAGTGATTTTATCTTTTCTTCTAGAAAAAAGCCATCTATAGAACTACAGAATATAGTAATAAAACATTACAAAGACTGCTGTTAGAGTGTGAAGTGAGGCAGACAGTTTACTTTGGCTTCTGTTTATTCCAACATCATTTGCAAGAATCCATGAGATTGAGTCGCCGCCTCTGTCTTTGCATACAAGCATATTTTAGTTTATTCAGTTTGCTATAACCATAAAACTATACTACAAAACTGAAAATCTATGTGTTTGTCTCTCTGTGTCTTTTTTTTTTTCACAAGCACCCCTCTCAAACAGTGACCAGTAGAGGGATAAAATTTGCAGATGTCATTCTAGCTGCAATGATTAGTTTAACTGTGCTATTAACAATACATATTCTAGACATGTCTGCTAATTAATGTCACAATCATTAAAAGTTAATATTCACTGGAGTTATATTCTTACATTTTTTTTTATCCCTAAAAGTAATTACTTTTGTTTTTTTTTTAAACACTATATTTCACTGTTACCCCCCTTGTGACTTAAAGTCTGTCATTTTATGTTAGCAGTGGGAGCTGTTAGACCAGAGTTTCCTACCGTGAATGTTACCATCCCAGTGGGGATACTGGGGCTGTAGCTTTATCTGTAAAAAAAATTTAGGGGGGGGGGGGGGGGGGGGGGGGGGGGGGGGCTGCCAAAAGTGTTAATTATAATCTTGAGTCATGACCCTGCATGAAATGGTAGGAGCATCATAAACCAGCTCATACCATCGTTGTAACTTTTTTGATCAAATTGGTGGGACAGTGAAACTGGCAAGGCAGTGGTAAGAGATTGACTAAACATATGGCAGCGGTAGAGAAAAAGATGAAGCAGAGGAGAGAAGAATAAAATTCTGCTGCATTATCCTCCTGTAATTCCCACTATTGCCAGACCCAAACCCACCTGAGATAAGAGGTTCAGACTTGGATCCTAATCCCCCACCCTGTAAAAATTATTTTTTACAGAAAACTTTGAGAAGAGATGAACAGAGAATCACAAAACAGGCACTGAAATGGGAAATTAAGGGATTTAGAAAATAAGGATGTCCATGTGCAACCATGAAGCAAACACTGATGAGAGAAGCTAAAGGTGTTGGCATGAATTCTATCCATGGTATCAAAGTTACTGCACAGGATAGAACAGAATGTAGAAGTAAACTGTAATCACTATGTGACATACAATAGCACAATAGGACAATGTATGAATAAATTTATGAATTCTCTTGTAAGGAAGTTAAAGGAGCCGAAACTTTGGATGATGATCCTGTCGTATTTGCTCGTCCGTGGAGTTTCTACTGCATATACAGCCCGAGGAGCAAAGATGAAGTACAGGATGGGAGAATAAAATGTTCTTTCACTATTCAAACTGAAGCCGGGCAATTAAATCTAACAGCAGTATAAATTGTGCTTTTCTTTTCTAGAAGAAAGGTACCTGTAGTCACTAGTTTCTAAGATAAAGATACCAGTATTCCCCAGTATCTCAAACATGTAGCAGTACTCACCACAAAGTATCAATTACAGTAGAACAGAGAAAAATAGTGCCTTAAAAAAATGATGTACTGTATATCACTGTTTACCTCAAGAGGGAAAAGGGCTGATTTTTACTAATATCAGTGCCTACACAGCCATCTGTAACAACTTTTTAGTTCCAAAATGATTGTTAGCTTCTGGTCCATGTCTGAGATTAGAACCTTAAAATGCCCCCATTCAGCAAACTTCTTGCTGATTGGCATTAGTGATTCTGCTTCTCAGCATATTGAAATCAGTTCAGGTGCTGACACCTATCCATGTCATGATAAAAGGCATGTCTTGTGGTCTTCCTTAGAAGATAGGGAACAGATAAGTGATAGAAATGATATATGTTACTTTGCTAATTACAACTGACAGAAAGAGAGTGACTTCCCTTCCCATTCATATATTACCATGGCGGAGGGCTAGTGCTATCTTGCAAGGGTGTCAAGCTTAGTGACCGACCACAACACGCAGCATTTTACTAGTTGTTTTCACCAACGATGATATAATGTGTTCTATATTACAGGATGTGAGCACTATTACCGGTCCCGAAACATGCAGAACTGGATGTAGGCTACACTCTCTCGTGAGACATAGGCTGCACTCTCTGGTGGGACATACGCAGCACTCTTTTGTGGGATATAGGCAGCACTCTCTCGTGGGACGTAGACTGCACTCTCTCGTAGGATATAGGCAGCACTCTCTCATGGGACATAGGCTGCACTCTCTCATGAGATGTAGGGAAGTTGGAGTAAGGGCCAGTTTTAGGACCCTTAAAAGCACTCACATCTTATAATATAGAACACGTGATATTGTCAACCGGTAACTGTTTGTGTGGTGAGATGTGCCCTTTGCTAAACTAAATTATGCATATTAATTTTGTTATTGTTCTGTATATATGTATATTTACCTGTAAATATATATATGGCTATCCTCTGAATATCGGTCCCAAATTATTGAGGCCGAAAATATACCCTAACAGAGCCTCAGTCGCATGTACATTGCAGCTTTCTTTGCGGCGACTTTACCGCCACCGCCGAGGAGTATCTCCAGAGCCGCTACACGCGGCGCAGAGTGGGGCTTAACTAGATGGCTGGGACTCACCAGCAAATAAAATGAAGGAGCTGCAGGAGATGGGGTAGCTGCTGCTAGTGAGCCCCAGACATCTAGTTTAGCCCCGCGCCGCATGTAGCAGCGTGGAAGATACTCTCGATTAGAAAAGAACAGGAATGCGGTAGTGACTTTAACTCGGCAGAAGCTTTTCGCGGTATGCTGTGTAGTCGCCGGACTGAGGCCCTGTTGGGGTATATTTTCAGCCTCAATAATCTGATAATTTGTATATAATGTTATGAATAATAATAAATATCACAAATAATTATCTGGAAACTACTGTGGTGTAGCAGCTAGTCACTGACATGAGAGCCTGAAGACATATCAAAATGGCATTGACTACCAGATCGAACCTGCCTAAAATGGGTACCAGGTAAAGTCAGGGGGTGTCAAAGATGGGATGTTGGCCCCTTCACCCATGACATTAGTGTTGATGGTCTATAACTAGTACTATTTAAGACTCGAAAAGAGTCCTTCAGGTTTGTTTTTTAAAGACTGTCAGGTGCCTCTGTGAACTCGCATGTCAGTCAGCTGCAGGTCCTTCATGGTTCCCCAAAGCTTGCTCTGCAAGCTTTGCTATAAGAGGCTGATTAACATTGACAAAAGTAGTCATATCCTACAAATAAAAGTAAAGAGTGTGAGATTTTTACGAAATTGTTTAATTTTTAAAAAACCAAGAAATAGGTTTTCATTACAAGCACATAAAATGAGTATTACATTAACTATTACTTTACTACGATATCACCAAGTGCGTCTCCAGTGTTAGGTAAACACGGCTTCTGACTGGCCGCCGCCTACTTTTTTTGTAGATCTCGTCACTTCCGGTCTATTAAAAAAATGTCGGCATATTACAACTGCTATATCTGATAACAGATAAAGAGTTCGCGGACATAACGTAATAACATCACGCGGTTTGAAAATTGGGAAATTACGTTCCATTGTCTTTCTAAACGCGTGCTATAAGGCCATTGTGTAGAATAAAGTATATTTCCCTAAAGCAGTGGCACTTAGAAAAGGAAGGACGGAGAAGAACGGATGAGGTGAAGTAGTGTACTGTTGCGGACGAGGAAGAAAAGGAGTAGGAGAAGAAAAAAAAAACTTTAGAGCATGAAATTACTAACATTTCACACAATTATTATTATTATTAATATTACTAAGATTTTACTGAGAAGAATAAGAAACAAAATTAAACCAGAAATCAGTTATGAACAATATAGATATGTAAAAGGAAAAGGTACAAACAATGCCATATACATCCTAAAGACATTGTCAGAAAGAGCTATGGAAGTAAAGACCGATTTTTACTTATACTTCATAGACAATACAAAAGCATTTGACTGTGTGAAGCATAAAGAAGTAATCAAACTTTTAGAAAAATTAAACATTGATGGGAAAGACCTACGAATAATAAAGAATATGTATTGGCAGCAAACAGCAGCTAAAAGAATTAACAACGGTTTAGGTACATTTCAAAGCATAAAGAGGGGCGTACGAAAAGGATGTGTACTATCACCTGATTTGTTTTTAATGAACAGTGAATATATAATAAGATCTT